TGACCCAAATCACGAGATCACGTTGTCTTAATACCCACTGCAAAACCTTGATCTTTAACTACACAACGGACCCAAAATTCTTAAACACCGCACTTACATCCTTGAACCCATTAGAACTACTATTGAGAGCAACCCACTCTGTCCTGGTCCCGAATATAACCAAACTCCAACGCTTTGCTAGCACGTGAACACCCTCTCAAAGAAGCAAACGACTGAATTCTTTTCCTTGTACGTCACATCCACGAGAAGCATAAACTCCGAGTCTTCCCAAAACCGCACATGAATCGATGAGGCAAAGTATAGCACACATTCATCAAGTTCTTCGCTCGAATTACCCATGATGTTTTATTTTTCTTAGTCATAATAACCCACCAATGCACCGATAACCAGAAACTGCACAAGCATACAACCACGTGCTCCAATCGTAGACGGTGGTCTCCCCCACTTAGCTTTAAGCTATAATTACATAAATCTAGAACTCGCAAAGATTCCTCCTTCTCAATTACCATGATCTCGCACCTTTACCCCGCCAAATTTCTCGAAATCTTTTGCTAAATATTTCATGAACATTTCGAATCATCAGCCACAATCACATATTTGACCTCTTGCCGGTAGCAAGTAGAATTCTTCGTAGAAGCTTCATCAAACTCAAGCATTTGCTGACCTGCTCACAGGAGATAGTCCACCTGTGGAATTTCCATACCGACATCTTCCAACGACACTGCACTGGACATAACTACCACGAAATCAGTAAACCCTCTAAAGTCCATACTCGTCCGCCAACTGTAAATGTCGGTTTATTCCCCATAGTCATCAACTGAAAGTCCGACAATATATTCGAAACTTGAAGTCATGTCGCATCCTATAACGATAATCAAGCTTTTACACCCCTATTCATTCCAAGCAAACTCCTTTCTATCATATTAATCCTTCCTCAGTGCAGTAGCCACCGACCCAAATGGCATTTATGGACTTGGTCATTGTCCAACATGATTCCTAAATCGTTCTAAACTTTTCTCAAGGCATGTGGCTATCCTACCACAAAATCCATATGCTACTTTGCCACTCCCACTTCGGTTAAACCATATTCTTTAAGCAACCTCTCGACCTCTGCTTTTCATACTTGACCTGTTAGCAATTCAACCACCACGAGACACCTCCCACCATGTCCTTCCTCATTCTTCGCTACCTAAATACTGCCTTAAATCAAAATCCATCTCTGTAGCACCTGAACTAATAAATTGCTACCAACTCTAAGCCTTCTCGAAGATCATATTTCTCGATCCATCATCATTAAAAATACCGATTCGATTCTGAAACCGCTACACACTGCCATCTCTGACAACCGCTTCTTAGGCAATATTTCACAACACCCTGCCCCGAGGGCAAATCAAAGAAGACCATAACACCGACGAACCTTAATACGTTCAAACAAGGACAACGACACCACATCACAAATGAGAATTCCACCACGCTTGAAATATTAAGTCTTGTTACTCCATCAACCAAAGCCTGAACATCCATAGTCCGATTGCCTTTCCTCCGCTGGAATTAAATGTCGAACCTCAAAACCATGCACCGAGAAATCCTCCTCCGAGTCATTCACTGCCTTGATACATAAACAAGCACCCTACCATTACACCAACACTGTGCGATAATAACGCATGAATATCATAATAATCTGTGTATAGCATCGAAACCATAGGAAATACAGATACTGGGCTGAAATGACAGTACACTCTTCCGCAAGGCGACGATAATAGCCTGCCCGAATACGCAGGAGAAACATCCTGCACCATGTCTGCAGTACCACTACAACTCCTTGATGCCCAATTGATAACAAGCACTCCACGTCGCATAAGATTGAGTAGGAAGTAAAATGAAGGCATAAGCTTCAATGGAATCAAATCGCACGAAGAGATATCAAGAAGGGAAGTGCTCCTAACATCCATGTAGCCTCACGAAGATAAGTACACACGTCTTCGTACTGATCCGCAAGACTCTACTAGACTTGCTCATGATTCGTGAGACCCAAGTGAACCTAGAGCTCTGATACCAAGCTATCACGACCCAAAATCCATCATAGGTCGTGATGGCGCCTAACACCGCCGTAAGGCAAGCCAACAGTGATTGATTTATTACTTTTGAAATCATAAATTTTAATAAGGAAGGAAATTTACACTTTTAAATCCACGGAAACGTATAAAAATTGTAATTTATAAGATAAATGAAAGGCGATGATAATATACAGAACCGTAAGCATCAATTAGTATATCCCAAAACCCGGTGTCACAAGTGAATGAGCATTTACTAGGGAGTACAACAATAATAATACAACATCTGTCTGGAATGTAAATAAGACAGAATAAAGTAAATGGTACGATGAAGACTCTTTGGGATGCGATGCATAGCCTGGAATGCAGCTCACAATAAAGTCTCCTCAGCAGCTGCGCCTACGCGCCAAGATGACCACCAAATGAACCTGTCGGATCCTGCATATTAAGTGCAGAAGTGCAGCATGAGTACATAAATCAACGCGTACCCAGTAAGTATCTAGCCTAACTCTGGAGAAGTAGTGACGAGGGGTCGACATCGATACTTACTAGTGCTCTAATAAATCAATATGGCAAATTATAAACAGATAAGAAGCACAATAGTAGTAGTGAGGTAAATCTGTATTTAACACAATCTCCAAAAATTTCTTTAAACGATATCAATTTCTCATCTCGTATTCTATCTCAACAGCTCAGAAAATACCTAGTGCCAATATCAAATAAATAAGAAATACCATATAAAATGCAAGGCATCAGTGGAAGAAAAATCTCATGAATATTCGGACTGCTAGCGATATAACGCATGATTACGCCGAAGTCGTACGACCAGATTTCAGAAAGAATATGATACTGCCGAGGCGATCGGCCCGATCCCATCATAACGTGTACACTGTCGAGGGTCGAGCAGCACGAACCATAGATGTATTTATTATAGTGCCGAGGTGAGTAGCCCGCTCCCATGAGAGTGTGGTACATAATCCTGCCAAAGCGTTCGGCCCTCTCCACAAGAAAGGAAAGGAATTATCGAATTACGAGACACGAGCTTACGGTACAATATATGAACACAAGGTGAGTATAACCTTTACCGTTTCTCAAATAACTTGCTAATAACTCAAGGTAATAAAGCTCGACCTAATATATATATATATATATATATATATATATTTCTAAATCAAGTTCAATTATAATTTTAATTAATTAAGCGAGCAGAATGAATTCAAATATTTTAAATATTACATGATAAAGTCCGAAGTCTACCCAGACATAAACATGCTTTAGTTACGTATGGACTCTCGTGCGTACGTAGCTCCCACAATTAATAGCACATGACAATTACATCACATAGAGGGTAGTTTCCTCCTCACAAGGTTAGATAGAAGACTTACCTCGCTCCAAAGTTTCATAACCGGCTCCAACACCTCTCTAATACCTCAACTCAAAGCCAAACATCCTGAAACTAGTCAAACAACATGTAAATCAATCAAAATATACTCCAATGCTTATAATTAATCAATTTATAATAATTTTCAACTCCGCTCGAAAAGTCAATAAAGTCAACCCTCGGGCCCACGTGCCCGGATTCCGAAAATTATTGAAAATAAATATTACCCATAACTCATATGGTCTATATCCATAAAATCATCCAATTTCGTATATGAACCGACCCTCAAATCAAGGATTTACCATTTCTCAACTTTGGGGCTTAAAGTCCCAATTTCTACAATCCAAACAAGGATAAAAATAATAACTAACGGAAATAATCATGGAGAAACATCAAAATTAAGGTCATATATTTACCCCTTGTTGATACGAGAAAAACGCCGCGAAAATCACCTCACACAGAGCTGTAGAACTCAAAATATGCCCAAAATACTAAGGACCCGTTAGGCCATAGATTTTGCCAAAATAAATTTGGGTTTTATTTGGCAAATACATGTTTGGCCATAGATTTTACCTATATTTTGGCAAAATTCCAAATCCCAAAACCAGCTCAATAGCTGATTTTGGGCCAAAATATCACTATTGCATTTTTTTTAAATTGCCCCCAACTTTTATATTTTATAAAAGAGCCCGCCATATATTATTTTGTAACAATGTTGCTTCGTCTTCTCGGTCACCTGATAGTGTATCATGTAGTTTATTATAAAAATAATAATTTTGTATCAAATTTATTTATGTTCAGGACTATGGTTTGCGATAATATAATGAATGTTATTGATAATGGTATTGTTGGGTATTTGTGATAGTTTTTAGAATTTGTGGGTATAAGTCATGTTTCATGTTTTTCCAAAATAAATTTGGGAAATATATTTTGAAAACTGATGTCCAAACACATTTTCATCTTCAAACCAAACTTCACCCAAATCAGATTTTTCAGAACAAATTTGAGAATCTATGGATAAACGCTAGATAAAATTCTCGGTTTAAAACACTGTCCAGATGATTTTTCTTCATCGCCTTCGTGGGAGATCTTCGCGTTCGCGAAGTGCAATTTTTCGCGTTGACCGGTCAACCCATAAATCCTTCTTCGCGTTCGCGGAACCACTCTCGCGATGAACAAAACTTCGCACCATAAACTAATAATTTTGTCTGACACAGAAATAGGCATAACTCTCTCATACGACATCGAAATTCGACAATTCTTATTGCTATGGCTCCGTAATTACGATACTGATCTAATGGTTCAATCCAATCACAAATCAAAGGTCGTTTGATTTTAAATTTAACCAGGCAGTGTTTGCATCAAACAGGGGATACGGACTCCATTAGATGATTTGAATAACGTAGTTGCAACTTGCAAGCATAGCCATTTCAACTGGTTCGACGAACTGAAAAATAAAAAAGAATCTGGCAATAAGGGGCGCCTCTCAACTAACACAAATCGCAGACAAGTCCAAAGTAATATACTAATATTTGGCTTTTTGCAAAAGGATGAGAACATTTATATGAGTGTCATCGCCAAGATTTTCAATTCATTTATGCTGTATGGAAGCCAGTTTATTCATAACAATACATACATAAACTAGGTCGAGAAAACCAGAATGAATTAAAAAAACAAAACTATCATNTAAAAAAACAAAATTATCAGAAAACAAATGAAACTAGGTCAAGAAAACTAGAACGAAAAGAACAATAAACAAAACTATCAGAAAACAAATCATCATCATCTGTCCCTTGACGCTGGCCTTCTTCATTACCATGGCTACCTTTTTCTGCACCAAATTGTGGTTTCCACATGATCAGAATACTATAACAGTGATAAACGTTCATACGGATGTGGCTAAGACGGAGAGAATTCTGAGAACTAGAGAAGCACTAGTGATCACCTGAACGAATTCAAGACGATTAGATGTACTTTCCATCTCCGTGCCCAATTCATTAATGATCTTGTCCTGCAAGGAAAATATACTGATTTTAACTATATTTCGCCTTTAAAGACGTTGAGTAGAAGCTTGAGAAAATTATTAGAAGTGCTGCATTTGTTAAGTGACTAGAAATTCAAGGAACCGATTAATAACCTGTTGAAGAAGTTCATCATGTATGGTGAGCCCAACATCTCCGATTCTAACTACGCTAGCACTAAGCTCGTCTAGCTCTTCATCCTGTTGCCTGCACAGGGCATCCAATCCGTTGTCAGATGTGAAAGACCCAGAAAATAGTTCCAATCTACTCCAAGACTAAATAACAGGCTTTTTGGAAGTTTACACAATGACTGAACTAAATAGATGTGACAACCATAATAATGCCATAGTACCATATCAATAGATCCAAGATTCTGCTACATCCTCTAAATTTTGAAGTTAATTAAGGTTTTCCTGACATAATTTAAGGAAGTGCGATATAAGTTGGCAGAAGTAGACTGCTAACCCTTTTAATCTAAGTTGCTCGGACTCTTCACTTTCAGTGCCGCACCCATGTCGACACGACGTGGGTGTGGGTCATGTGTGGGATCCGTGTCGGATCTGGTCAACCGATTTTGGGTACTTTGACCAAAATCAACGGAAAAATTTGGGACAGATACAATGATTTTTGAAAACAAATCAAAAGGTAGGGTGATATGGAAGAAAATGGAATACCCTATATATATAAATTTCTATGTAAGTCCTTTTCCTTTTATCTCCTTCTAAAATTCTACTCTTGTTCAATATTTTCTCCTTCTCGGAATACCTTGTAAGTTTTTCACATAATGTCTCATAATTTAGACATATTTTTATATCTCTATTTTTAAATAATTGAATTATTTTTAGCCGAATCCCCACACCCGTATCCGTACCTGGATCCGTACCCCGAATCTTTAAATTTAGATCATGAAGGATATGACCTCTAGATCCGCACCCGTATCGGACACCCGCACCCGAGTCCGAGCAACTTAGCTTTTAATAGGTACTAAAGCTAATAAAGACTATTCCACTTAGGGGCACCTATGGTTCGGTTTGGATCAGTTTTCATTTAAACCGAAATCAAACCAACTATGTCGGTTTGTCAAACATACAAACCAAACCAAAACAAAACAAATAGAGTCGGTATTTTTTATTTGGCTTTTCTTTTCACACGATATACAAATTCATTTCATTCAATCTACAAGAGCTAAAGACATAATTTCTCAAATGTTGATGTATGTGTAGCAAGAATCGAGAAAATTAATTAATCTATTATCTATTGAAACATCTATATGAAAGAATTTTTCTGGAAAACATGACAATTATTTACTTTCGTAGATCAAAAAGCAATAGTTTCTCCATATAAATCTTACCTTAATGATTAAGATAACAAATAAATTACTCCTAAATAACTAGAAGAATAGAAAACTCAAGAAAGCACCATGAATATGTCTATACAGCTTTTTCATGGCTAAAAATATATAAAGTATCTTTATAAAAGTAAATATTTATGGTCATAAAATTTATAAACTAGTATACTTACAAAGTCGATTTGATTTGTTTTTTAAACTTAAATACGAACCGAACCGAAAAAAATATTGTCGGGCTTTTAAAATTGAAAGCCAAGTCAAAAAATACATCAGTGTTTACTCGGTTTGGTTTGGTTTGGTTTTTCGATTTTTCTTGAACACCCCTAGTTCCAGTATAAATGAAGTTGAGTAGACAAAATCAGAAAGCCAAAATGACATGGCAGAATGGCTATGACTAGGACATAAAAATCTTGGGGAAGTTGATATTACACATATCGTCCTTCCATAAATATACAAATCAAGGGGTACAGATTACATAGTAAAGATTGAGAAGCATTAAGCAGGTTTCTCTATAAATGGATCAAGTGCGTGCAACATTTCCACTAAGATTGAATATAAAATTGATCAGTCTAAGAAACATGACAAACGAAGAGTAGATGCAAAGAAATGGAAGGAAGATACCTCATAAGAAGTAATTGCCTATCTGATTCTGATGATATGAAATCATCATTATCTCGGGCAGAGTATGCATTGGATCTCTCTTTCTGATCAGAATCTGGCAGTCTCAACAGTTCTCGCCGCATCCCATTGAGATTAGATGTACTTGTCCCATAAGACTCCTTTCCAGTTACTATTGACTTCTTCACGCTTCCCACCTGGTTAAAGGCAATTGATTTAGCTCTTTTACTTTAAGGAACTAAGGACCAAAAGAATATACATGTGGCATCAACAGAATCAGCTATACTTGAGCTCGGGCATTGCTGGTCCATCTTCTTCTTCTATCAAGCTCACTTTCATTAATACCATACCAAGAGGGATCTTTTGCTGCAACAGCGATTGTTTTGTCCAATTCATCCACCTTCTCAACAAGAACACAGGAATTCAGCATTGATAAAAGGATATGAAGTTAGTCAAAGTTGCAGAAGGTCAATTTCAAATCACATTGACAGAAGATCATTTTCTTAAGTGAAAAGATCAACATATCTGACAGTACAAATCATAACATGAATTAAGACACATGCAACGCATCAAACAAGAAATTGCATCTGGCTCTGAAATCATCATTATTCATTCATGTACAGGCAATCAGGAAGACATACAATGAGAATTTAACAAAACAAACAGCAATAAATATCGATTAATCATGTTTAAAGGAGCTATGTTTTGGCCCATACCTGCCACTCAATGCTCTCACATGCAGCAAGAAGTTCCTTTGTAAGATGTACTTGCTCACCACTATTTGCAGGAGTTTGCTCCCATTGATGAAACGTGGACAAGAGCTTGTCAATCTAACTAAGCAGGCATTTCAAGAGTTAGATTCTGCAGTCAACAAACTAGAGCAGTAATGAGAAATTGAAGAAAAACTAGATTCTAACAGTGAGAAAATTCCTGGTTAATCTGTTTTTTTTTTTTTAACAGTAAAAAGAGATAGAAAACCTTTTTTTGTCTTGCCCCCTAATTGATTTTTCTACGAAAATACCAAAATTAGCTTGCTTACTTTTTCTTCTTTTTCCTCTATCATCATTTATTCTCCTTTTCAATAGGAGATGGCTTTACAAGAAAAACACAAGAGTTACATTTTGCAGGTTTTCTTTTTTGATAAGGGACAACTATATTTTGATAGTGAAACAAAGCTAAGCAGGCTTCTCAGATGTTTTTCATCAATTACTAATTTACCATGTAAACAATATCGAAGCATGTTTATAAAAAATTATTGTGCATATAAAGAGAAATACAACAAACATAGCCGAAATACAATAGGATCTTCTCAAATCAAAACCAGATGCAGATGAACAACACTTGAGGCCTTTCCTACCACAGAACACACCTCAAAAGTTTTACCTAATAGAAATTACTTTGCATTTTTTTTTTT